ATGAATGGACGCAGCCTCTTGATTTATACTTCTGTGCTGCATTGGTCTGCCTTGTGTCCCTGGCCCATGGTGCACACAGTTCCCCCCCGTGGTACTTGCTGGACCGGACTGGTACTTTCTAGACTCTCTCCAACATGGGCTTGCTTTAGTCACACCACTTGCCCACTTGCCTGCACCACTTGACCACTTGCCTGCACCACTTGACCACTGACTCCGAAAGGCCACTTCTAGAACTCTCTAAGTTGGCCTTTCGGTACTGTAGCAGCTACGACTTTGCCCTTTCAGGTAAGTAGCAGCTACGACCTTGACTCTTCAGGCAGTCTTCAGCTACAACTCCGGAACTGTCTAGACTTCTACCCTACAGGTCTACAGTTCGATTCCAGTCTATCCTGTGCCCTACGACAATCTACCTACCACTGGCGGTTCTACAGGTCGCAGGTTCAACTCTTCGAGTTGACGTAGATATTATACACAGGTAAGTTGGGGAACTAGGGATCAAGCCCTGGGATCTGCCTCGGCGACCACGAATTGGTGAATACCGTTTCAGAAGCCATCAAAGCACCCTCAACCTGACTATAGCCGACTGGAAAGATAGCTTGCATACATCCAGATATAGGTACAGAGAAGTACTGGTGGCTCGATTGGGAAAATGCTATTATTAGTAGGAAAAAACGAAGGAGACTAGAAAAATGAGAAGAACTGAACGGGGCTGTCAGAATTACCCGTTGAGATGCAGCGCCCGTGAAACACACACACTCTGACAACAGACACACACACACTTTTTCGGGGCGCTGCTGAGCGCGGCACCCAAAAAAAATTCCTTCTTCAACTTCGATTCTTACAAGGGGTGGGGAGGGGGTGTTACCACGTTCGCCCCTCCCCCTTTTTTTTTACAACCCCTATTTTTGGCCGTGCGCCGAATTGCGTGCACCAGCAGCATGTGCTGCACGTGCGCTCATGGCGCGCACAAGATGCGCTGCAAGTATGCTATCAATGCACGTCCTCCAGCTAAGAACTACCCTTAAATTTACTAACCAAACCTATAAGCTATCCTGAGGTTATGGGCCCATACCTGCTTACACTGTTCTGTGTGGGGAGCAGCACCCAAGCTCCTAACACCTGGTGCTGGCTGGAAAGTCGTAGTGCAACTTCCACAACCAGCCAGGAGGGACAAGCTGAGTTTCTCAGTCGGTGAACCCGAAGCATACAACAGGGGGTTTTGAGAACCGAATGGATGACGTGGGGAATTGAACCCACGACCTCCTGCGTACCACTTACGTGCTCAACCAACCGAGCTAGGCCAATTGGCTGAGGTGCGCCTTTTTCATTGCGGGGGTGTTGACATTTTATCCTGCTATCAGTTCACGTAACGACCACAACACACCTGGTTTGTTCCAATGTTGGTGAAAGGGATGCTATTATCATTACGCCCATGCCTTTTGTACATTAACAACAACTCTTAAAGAGAGAAAGAAACGTCTACAGACTGTGTGCATGCATTCCCTGCATACATGCATATTACCCAAAGAAAGCAATTTGCCACCTGAAGTTTCAGGTTTTAAATTGTTCATATGATTACTTCGAGCCTAAGTAAGTGACTGGAGTTTTGGTTCAGCGCGAGTTTCTAAGTACTCTTCTCAAGAGTTCACCGTGAAAGAGAGAAAGACTACTCTCTCTACAGACTGTGTTCATGATTCCCAGTTTACGTGATATTAGCCAAACTAAGCAATTTGCCACCTGAAGTTTCTGGTTTTGAGGGGTTTTTTTTTGTTTGTTTTGTTTTTTTGTTTCAAACAGGTTCTTATGGTCCTGGCTCCATATCCATTCTGGGGAGCATCAGTCCGGTTCCTGTCCACCGGCAAGTCGAGAATTGGAATACATGGTGAACACTCTCACGCCTCCGTCCTTCTGGCCGAAGGAACCATGACCAGCATTGATTGCTCCTATGTAGGAGGATTGACTGTCAGCTTGCCCTACTTTCCTCTCAGAATCCATTTTGATTCTGTCATGTATTTCGTGTGCAACAAGAAAAGAGGAGAGTTGTCTGTATTGTTGAGACTATGGTCTCAGTTTGCCCCTCGCTGGGTCGTCATCCTTACTGGATTTTCGCTGTGCCATTTTTTTTTTCCAGATCAATCTATTATCTGCGACTGTTGCGATCTTTTCCTGTAGGAGCCACTCTCTCATGAAAGAACGTTTCTTGCTGGCTAGCCTTTCTGGTCCGACTTTCGTTGTTGATGTAACCTCCCTCCATCTGCACCGAATCTCAGTTTCTGTCATACTCAACAGTAGGGCCCACATTTCTTCCCTTGCCACCTCAGTTCTCTCGATAGTCTTGGTACACCTCCTTTTCCAGATCACCCACAGAGCCAGCGTCCTGAGAAGGTGAAACCAGATTTCCTTGTCGCCTTTGAGATTGTTCGCACTGTTGGATAGGAGGAGGATGTTTTGAGGAGATGTGGGGGGAGGGGGTGATGAGAAGAGGAGGGACCATAGGTCGCGAGCTTTGTTCCATATCCAGGGTGCTTCGGTGCAGTACAAGAGGCCGTGGGATACGTCTTCTGGTCTGTTGTCTGTGCACATAACAGGGTTTGATGGAGCCATTGGTTGACGGGCAGGGATGCGTGGGCTACGAGCCACTGCATGCTTTGGATCCTAACCGGTCTGATGGACAGGTACCTCGTCTAGGGGATGGAAACGGGGTCAGTAGGTTCTAGGTTCAGGATCTCCCTCCATTTTTCTTTGAGTCTGGGATCCGGGTCTGTAGTTTGTAATCCTAAGTCATAACTGGATTTTACATCGTATTCGAATATCGTTCTTGTTCTCCTCCCGGATTTCCCCTGTTTCCAAATCCACTCTTTCGGATCAAATTCGAGGTCTGAGATGCCAGATCAGATGGGAAGATTATCCAGGGTTTGGCTTTTGCGACCCTCACTTTCCTCAATCGGAAGGATTCTAGCATGTCACACTGGGGTTCTTTGTTCATAACTTCCAACTCTTATAGGTTGCCATTAGTGATCGGGTAGGAGAAGAATTTGGAGAGGTAGCAGGGTGCATTGGTGCGAGAAACAAACCGGTAGGTTTTGGGAGGCTGGGTTTGAGAAACAAACCGGCATCATTCTTCGCCAGGCTTTGAGGGTTGGCTTCCAGTCTGGATTTGCTGTTGGAGTAGGGCTTGTAATACGATCTTGTGTTTCTTTTGCTCTGTCTGCCTGATTTGATTGTCCAGTCCTTTGCCATATTCAAAAGAGACCTCTCTGTTCGGAGGGGAGTTGATAGTTGCTAGATCTTTGATGCTGTCCAAAGCCATTTGGGTCTATGGAATGAATTGTTTTATTAGGATCTTGACAATCCATTTCATCTGCAGTGCTATGGATTCCTGCTTGGAATCAATAAGCCCCATCCTCTCTCTTGCGGTTTCCTGATGATGTGTTTCCAAGCTACATTGTTGATCCACCTGGTCCTGTTGGGGTCTCCGGTCCATAAGTATCATCTGGCCCTGTTTTTTAACGTTTTGAGGTCATTGTCGGGGGGGGGGACCAGATGGATGCCATGTACCACAATGTGGAGAAGATTGTCGTGTTAATTAGTAGTGCTCTTCCGCTTAACGAGGCCTGGACATTTTTGCACAGGGCCATGCGAGTGATTGCCCTGGCGACTAGGTTTTGGCCCATGCCTGGTCACAGTCGGTCCTTGTTTATCATGATACCAAGGAATCTTCGTGCCTGATCTCCTATAGACCATGATATGGGTGTGGCTGTATCGGCCGGTTGGGGTGAGGTCTTGTCTTCTAGCCACCATCCTTCGGTTTTGCCCCAATTGACCTTCATTTCCAATGCCAGACTGAAGGCTTCCACTGCTCTTATGAGGGCTTGTAATGAGCAGTTGTTGGCCCGGATGAGGACAGCGAGGTCGTCAGCGAACATTAGCGCAACGGGTAGGGCAGAGTCATGTAATGGATTGAAGTTGGGTTCGGTAAGGCGGTCAATGGAAGGGTTTTGTCGAAGGAAGGAGGCTATGGATTCCATAATGAAGAGGAAGATGGGCGGGGCCAGTGGGTCGCCTTGTCTAACCGATCTCGAGATCGGGCAGGTGTCTGAAAGAATCCTATTGACTTGAACTAAGCATGTTGCATCTGAATAGAGGACTCTAACCCATTCTCTAAACTTGGGGCCTAACCCCATTTTCTCCATGCAGGCATGGTGGAAGTCTCAATTGACCTGATCGTAGACCTTTTTGAAAAAAAAAAACAAAACAGGATTGCTGCCTTCATTGAAGTTCATTCGTTTTTTTGTGATCTTCTTTGCTGCCTCATTTAGTGCCATCATGTTATCTAGTATGTACCGCCCAGGGATAAAGCCTGCTTGGTCGATATGAAAGCATTTATTTGTTAGCGTTGTGATTCTGTTTGCAAGGGCCTGAATGAGGATTTTGTAGGGAGTGGTGAGTAGTGATATGGGTCTATAGTTTTTCAGGTCCTCTTTGTCTCCCTTTTTGTGCAGCAGGGATACCACACTGGTGCTTAGTTCGTTGCCTAGGCCTCCCTTTAGCCTGCTGTAGTTGAAGAACTCGAGCAGGTCCTCTCCTAGAGTCGGCCAAAAGTAGCTCCAAAATTCTTTCGAGAGGTCGTCGATGCCCGAAGCTTTGTCATTTCCCATTTGGGTCAGGGCTACGTGTAGATCAGCCAGGGTTAGGGATTTGTCCAGGCCTTTCACTTCAGTTGTGAAGATCGTTTTGTCTACATACGACATCATGTGTTGACAGGCTTTTAGGTTTGTTGTGGTAGGGGGTGAAGAAGTTTTTGACTCGTATGGATCTGCGTAGAATGTCCTGGCTATCCTGACCACTCTGTACCTGCTGTTTTGACATTTCCTTGATCTATTGGGCATTTGAGGGCCTCTATCATGTTATTCCTGGCGTTCACTTTGATTCTGGAGAAGAAGAAGTTAGTCATGGTTTCATTGAGTGTGTAGTCCATCATCCTGGCGCGTATTTGCAGTCCGCTCAAGTCACATCTTCTCCATTCGTTTAGTTCCTCTTTGGTATCAGCTAGTAGATCCTTGTAGAACTCGCTGAAGGGGTCCTCTGCTAGGTTAACTTCTGTGACTGAGATGGCGAATTGGAGTTCTTCCCTTCTCCTTTTGCGATCCCCCGCTATGCCTTGTGATTCTGTTGATATTGTTCGTGTTGTGTTTGCGTAACTGTCCATGAACCATTGGTGCCTGTTCGTCTGTCTGAATTTTCGCTGTTTTTGGATGGACCAATTTTCTTTGACCGCTATGGACAACCTCTTGGTCGCTAGGAGGGAGTTGTTCAGCCCGAAAAAACCCGGTCTTGTTTCGACCGGTGAGTTGAATGGGCTTATGGCCCAATCCTTTGATGGCGGCCGAAGGACGTATTTCGACTTCCTTGATTGCACCTTGTAGGCTCTCAAAGATCAGGAAGTTGAATGGGCTTATGGCCCAATCCTTTGATGGCGGCCGAAGGACGTATTTCGACTTCTTGATTGCACCTTGTAGGCTCTCAAAGATCAGGAAGTCATCGATCCTGGACAATAAGGTCCGATTGACTTGGTTCTTTCTGATCCTGGAGAAGGCTGTTTTGTCCAGATGCAATGCCCTGAACAGATCGATGAGTTCATATTTTGTCGTCAGATTCCGTATCTGGTTCCGACTCTTGTGGGACCCAATAATACTGTCGTAGAGATCCGGTCCAAGTTGGGGTCCAGAGTTATGTTCCAGTCCTCTGGGATGATAACCGGTTGCAGATTGGGGATAAAAGGTTGGATGTTCTCAAAGAAATCCAGTTGTTCAGGTTCTGCGTTGGATGCGTACAGGTTGAGGATTCTCAACTCTTCGACTTGCCATCTTATGTCTAACCATGATCATCTACCCTCCTTGCTGTCTCCCTCACTGTTCAAGATTTGACCTTCAGTCAGAATTTTGGATGTCCTTGGTATGAGAATTGCAGTTGCTTTCATATTGAGACACTCTTTGTTGGACCATCGGGCAAAGGCGCACCCACCTACTGTCTTTTCCACAGTTTTCTGTATTCGGGTGTGGTTGTTAAGATTTGATAGGTGGGTCTCTTGAAGTAGTATCACGTCGGGTTTGGGATGATGTTTTCCTATCAGACCGAGCCGAATGTCCCTGGTTTTATCTTCCTCGGCGGATGCATTCCCTAGACCATTGACGTTCCAACAGAGTATTTGGAGGCCCTTGGCGTGCCAGTTGGTCTTTGGTGGGTTGCCTTGTCCATATCTAGTGTTCGTGAGCCTCGACACTGTTTGACTCATCCTCCCCCTCTTTATTCTTTTTTTTCTTTTTTTCTTTTCCTTGGTTGTCTTCTTGACTTGGATGTTGTAGTGCATTTTACTTATGTGGACAAGATTAATCAGTGTTTGGGCTTCATTTTTCTATCTATTGCTGCCTAAGTCTTGCGACTCTGTGTTTGATTCCATGATCACATCCTTTGCTGGAGAGGAACCAATGTCGTATTCTCCTGTGCTACTCTCGGTTCCATGTTGTCTTCATCCTCCCCTATGTCTACCTCTATGGGAGTAGCCTCGTCTTGCAGTGAGCTTTTTGAGATCAAGAGGAGGGTCCTGATGATATCTGTTAGGGAATCTGCAATGATATCAGTCGTACTGGATCTCCCGTTCAACACATGATACGAGAGTGTTGTGATCGTGTTCCATGCCCTCCAAGTCTCGCTGAGTTTTGCCTTTTCATCAAGCTTGACTAGCATAGGGTCGAAGGGGGTGAGGATCGGTGAATCTGAGTTCTTTTCTCCACTTGTTAGTTCTCGTGGAGGAACCCCGTATACCCCCAACGGGAACTCATGGAAATGATCTCCTCTATGTTCCTTGTCAGGGCCCGGTCATCATCCAGTGTGGGGAATGCGAAAGAGGCATAGGTGGCCACATGCCAGTCATTGAGTTTGCTCCTAAGACGCACGAGGATCATTGAACGAACCGCCCTGATGGTCTTCTGGTCTGTGTTTGCTGATTTGGTGATGTAGGGGGTCTTGCCTTCCGAGATCATCTGGAGTGTGGTGAATTTTTCCTTTTGTTCTTTTCTGCAGTGTTGGTTCTGATTGAGGGTCTGCGGCAACAATCTTTGGCTTGGGGTGGTGATGTTCCAAGATCTGTTTCGCTTCATGGAGCAGGGCATTGTTGTCCAGATTCGTGTTCTGGCATGTTTCCGCAGTCTGGATTCTGATTGTTTCCATGTCCTACAACAGATCCTCGTGTTTCTTCTCTTCTCTAATTGCGTGTGGGTCGATGACCGGGTCTGTGTGGATTTTCCCCAGTATTCCTATTACCTTTTTGGCTCCCACGGTGTGCCATCTGCTGTATGAAGGAGGGAACATGTCGGGTTGCTTTGTTGTTGGGTTGGAGTTGTTGTACGTCCATATCCATTTCGGATCCTGGATGGTGTCGTCAAAGACCCACCCATAGTAGTCTTGGTCATTGATGAACCAGATGCCCTTTGCTTCTTCCACTTCCACCATCATGCTCTGTTTCATCTTTTTTTCTTTCAAATGTTCAGGGGACCGTGGGCAGGATGGGTCAGTGCCCAGGTGACCTCTTTCACTACACCTGAAACAAATGGGGGCGTCTTTTGTTGAAATTGTGACTATGGATGCTTCGTCACCAATGCAGAATTCCCATTCTTCCGGGAATTCGGGGTTCGTATCAGAGTTCACTTCCAAAACTGCAGTGATGGAGTTGCAATGAGGGGCCAGGAATTATGGCGTTGGGAGGACCCATTTCAACACTTTGTTGTTCGGATACTCGACCTCCAATCGGTCTTTGATTAGTGGACGACCTTTGATGGGAATGTTATCAAACTGGACCCAAAATTGGTCCCTCATGAGTCGCTGTTTCTGTGCTGCTGCTGACGAAATTGTGGCTTTCTGAGCCGTTTTGGGTTTCCACTGGGACAGGGTGCAAACTGAGTCGTTGCAGTTCAGTGTGGTGTGCTTGTTTATCAGGTTGGATGCCTGATCGGGATCTTTGAAAACCACCACCATCATGTTCTTACTCGGTACTAAAATTGAGAATTTGTCTGTGATGGTCTTGATGTTTTCATGACCCTGGATAGTCTTTGTGAGCCATTTCCTTTTCTTAATTGTTGGGAGGTGGGTGCCTGTGTTGGAGAAGGTGAACACCAGGCCATGTTTGGCATACATTGCGTTGGTTGAGGCAATTTTTTCTTTCGGGTAGCACCACACCGTTACTTCTTTTTCTTCCCCATTTTGCTGGATCTTCTTTGCATTTTGTGATTTCACAGCTACGACTGGGGCAAAGCGACATTGGAAGGTCACTGTTGTGGCCATGTTGGCCAGAGGCTGTGACGGCGGGGCGAGGTCAGGGTGGGGGGGGGGGGGGGGGGGGGGGGGGGGGGGGGGGGGGGGGGGGGGGGGGGGGGGGGGGGGGGGGGGGGGGG